TAACAATTTGTATTTCAGACTCCCGGGTGGCGCAGATGAGAAACGTCATGATCCCAACGATGGCGTTGAGCTAACCAATGAGCCTGACATGATCACGTAAGTACTCCCAGTTGCTCGATCGTTCACTCCAGTCAAACTAAGCGATCTTTTTATCTATAGTTGGGAGGACGACCCGGACAACTTACGTGCAAAGGTAGTAGATATCTTTCAAAGAACTTGGAAAACAACATTTAATTTCAAACAACTTTAAACCCCTTTTCAGATGCCATGTGGCCACGCTATTGGTCCCGAATCCTTGACTGCCTTTTGCAGATCACTTGTTAGCGAAGGCAAATTTCAATTTTTTTGTCCGTATGTCAACCGTGAGTACTCACGTTAGTGTCTGACATCAACTGGCAATGTTTTCTTACTATTCATTATATACATCAAGCGACAAACGATGCTCGTTGCCGTGCGGAATGGCAATATATTGACATCCGCAAGATAGGTCTGCTTACTGACGACGAGCGCATACATTTTGAGTCCAAGATTAGTGAAAATTATTCTTTTCGCGCTCTCGGCGCTCAAGAATGTCCTCAGGTGAGATGAAAATTCACTTTTCGAGTTTTTCTGTTTAACTCTTGTTGACTCCAAGTGCTATTGGTAGTGTTCCACATTCTGTGAGAGAAGCGATAAGAATCGAACATCGGTAATCTGTTTGATATGCTCAAGGAAGCCGGGCGCCAGAGAATACGCATTCTGTTGGTACTGCTTGCACGAAGTTAAGAGTTCACATAGTTATCGTTGTGATAACAATCTCTGTGGAGGTATCGATCCACGTCTAGCCATTCTCAAAAATGCGGTCACAAAGGTAAGATATCTTGTCTGATGGCTTTATTTTTCATAATTGTACAATTTAACGTTACAGTAATACTAATTAAACATTGCGGTTTCAGAAAGTAGGTACCGTATCCGGAGTACCATCGCGCCGCGCATGCCCGAAATGTGGTGTAATAATCGAACATGACCGCCTATGCAAGCATATGACATGTCCTTGCGGTCAAAACTTCTGGTATTTATCTTAATGTGGATAATTCAAACAAAAAAGGGGGAGGAGGAGGAAAAGACTCTGAACTAATTCTTGCAATATCGATATGCAGTTTCATTTGCCTTAGTCTGCGCGGCCCAACTATCGGCCCGCAAAACGGCTGGTCATGCGGTACATTCAACAGTGTATGCGATATTGCTCCTGTACAGACCACTATCCCCGG